GCGTCTGCTCCATTGCCCAGAACGAAGCCAACCTGAAGAAGAACCGCAACCCTGACTATGTGCCCTGTGAGCATCCCAGCTACCCTGCTCCGGGGGCTAGCTCCCAGGGCTGTGGCAGGAGGGCGGTGCAGGGCACGGGGATGCTTGGGGCCACGGCAGGCTGTGGTGTGGGTTTGCCCCCGGCTTCCCCAGGCACTCATCACATCCCCTGGCCTCTGTTTCCCCAGATGACCACGTGCGGATCAAGCTGAAAGCTGAGAGCAACCCGTCCCGCAGCGACTTCATCAATGCCAGTCCGATCGTGAGTGATCACCGGGGGCTCCTGCCCTGCCACCCTGCTCCGTGATGTGCTCAGCCCAGGCGAGGCTCCCACTCTGGGACAGAGCTGGACTGAGCTCACATCCCTGTGGGCTACGGCTGTGAGCAATGGACCTGCCCCATTGCTCAGACGTGGTTAAAAATCCATTTCCCTCCTGGCTGCTGCACCCGAAGCTCCCTCCCCAGCCCTCCTATCACCCCTGGAGTATCCCCCCCGCTCCTCCCGGTGTCACCGACCCCTGGCCGAAGAGCGTGCAGTCTGACACCCCCTTTCCCGCTCCAGATCGAGCACGATCCGCGGATGCCGGCGTATATCGCTACACAGGGGCCGCTGTCCCACACTATTGCTGACTTCTGGCAGGTGAGCATCACCCGGCTGTGCCAGCCCGTCGGGGTCTCTCTGGGTGCTGACCACCAGATGGGACACAGCGGCTCGGCTGCCCTCCTGCCTGGGCTGTCACCCAGTGGTGACACCCCCCATGCCTTGCCTGCAGATGGTGTGGGAGCACGGCTGCACAGTCATTGTCATGCTGAGCCCGCTTGCAGAGGACAGCGTAAAGCAGTGTGACCGCTACTGGCCGGACGAAGGCTCCTCTCTCTATCACATCTATGAGGCAAGTGTGGCCAGTAGCCCGGGGCAAGGAGCATCCTCCAGCCCCCATCGCCCTGAGTGCAGCCCCCCTGCCCAGCGCTGACGCCCACCGGCTGCCTCTCTCGGGCAGGTGAACCTGGTGTCGGAGCACATCTGGTGTGAGGATTTCCTGGTGCGCAGCTTCTACCTGAAGAACGTGCAGTCACAGGAGACCCGCACCCTGACGCAGTTCCACTTCCTCAGCTGGCCGGCCGAGGGCATCCCCGCCACCCCCCGGCCCCTCCTCGACTTCCGCAGGTGAGCACCCACCCGGCGCCATGCCAGCCCCCAGGGAGCCGGTGGTGGTCCCGACCGCAGGGGACTGATGGGCGAGGACATCGCTGCCGGTGTGATGAGGGTCAGGGCTGTGGCATGGGACCGGCTGGGGGGGGCGGGGGGT